CCTTTTCTTCTCCCACTTCGCTTGAATATGTTTTAATATAATAGCTAGTAGATCTCTAGAAATTCTATCGATGTACATAAAATTGAGATTAAGGGAGTAATATATATTATTTGAAAATTACGTATAATATATTATAAATTATAATACTTAATAACTTAAAATATTTTAAAAGAACATATAAAAAATTTAGTCGATTCTCCGAATTTTATCCGCGCGACATAAATTGGACAAAGGGAATAACATATATTATTTAAAAGTGATACAAAAATTAAAATACTATAAATCACAGTAAATAATAATTTTTATAAAAAATTCAATTGATCGACTCTTCAAATTTCACAAATAAAAATTAAAAAATATGCACATATATCGGACTCGCACTTACAAAGACTTCTATCAAGTTACCGTAACATAGTTACATAATAATATAATACAATATAATATAATGGAGTAATAAATTTCACATTTTTTTTTGGTTAAAACTAAGGTAAATATGAGCTTTGTGTGAAATGGACCTTAAATTTCGCCGCTCTTTACTTCTTGTCGCATAAAATCATTTGAGGACATTTATTTTAGGTAGTTATATTTGAGAAATCCATTCAAGCACTTCAAAATAATTGATTATTGTCATCTTTTGATATTGTGTAACAATATATTAGAAAAAGAATAAAAAAGAGTTATTGTTTTGATTCTTTAATAAAATCAATGGATGCTTTGAAGGATTTAATATGGATGTCACATTATTATAGGAGAATCTGAGTAATATAGGTGTTTTAGTTGGATATCATTTGACTAGGATTAGGCATATTATGGTTTAAAACAAAATAAATGACTGAACTAATTTTTTTTCTAAAAAAATTGATTTCAATTTGTTCGATCAATTTGATTATTAATTCTAGAATTTTGGTTATTTGGTTCGGCTTTCGATTTTAAATTATTTTAATGCGGTTAAATCGAAAAATCAAAATCAAATTGCATTATACTTACAATTACGAAAATTCTCACAAAAATTTTTCAGAAAAAAAATTCTAATTTTTTCATAAATCACATTCGAAAATTGTGTTTTATTCATTGTTAGTGATCTTCATTATTCTCCATTAACTAAACTAGTAACATACATTTTCTATTATTACACAAGAACTCCACTTTATTGTATATACTAATGAACATTTTTGTGATTTGCACGATCATAAAAACTCTCTGTAAATTTAGAAATGAACTTCTTATATATTCTTACAAAATCAATAATATATATTAAAATGTTTCCTCTGATAAAATAAAGTAAAACATGAAATGAAAAGTATATAGGTAATATAAGTAGAAATTAATTGTATTTTAATATCATTTCTTAATTATTATTTTTAAAATTTTATTTTTACCCGTATCTAATCTCCCCGTCATTTGTTCATACCATAAATAATAAGCTCTAGTTTAGAAAATATATTATTTTTTCTCAATATATCATTATTCTCTTCTTGATTATCACCACTGTTTGCCAGTTACCTCTCTTCCTTAAACTCTCGCTCACCACTCTCCCTCTCTCGCTCCATCTCTCGCTTCCTCTCACTTTTATACAAACACAAGTGTATAAATAGTGTTACTGTTTGTATAAAGCAAGAAAAGATTGTATATTCACTTGCAAATGTATATATCTTCGTCTTATATGCTTATAATTATACAATACAAATATTTCTCTGCGCAATTTTTTTGTCTTTCTCTTTTTCTCGTTTTATACATACACAAATTATACAATTGATTTGTATACAACTGATTTTTTTTGGATATGTTTAGCGAATTATACAATTGGTTTCTTTGTATATGTATAGCAAATTATACATATTTATGTTTGTTATGGAGCACAATTATGCGAACTTTGCTATAACACACAAATATAAATTTGTGTTTGCTATATGTGAAAGTTACTCTTTTTTAAATACTTTTTTTCTACTTTAATATTCTCATCACCAATGAAAACTCTAACGTCTTTCATCTTTCTTCATCTTTTATAGTAATTATCTTGCCTAATTATTTAATCAAATTTAGATTTTAAAATTAATATAATAGGTTACACATTAAAGAGACTCGAATACAATAAGTGATAGTTAATAGTAAGTAATTAAAAATATGAGTTACATGTATTCATGAGAAATATTTGAAGCACTGACTTTTATTTTTTTGACATTTTTTTGTTTTAATAATAAAAACAGATTTAAAAATAGGAAAATGGTAAAAAAAATTGAGAAAAAGAAAAATGTGGTTATTAGTTATAGAGTTGTAATACCACTTTGTCTATGCCCAGTTATATAGGAATATACATAGATATTAATTTTAAATTTCCAATTACCATATATTTGGATAAATAAAAAATTGTGGTGCTAATTCAATTTTTTTTATTTGTTAATGTTTTTATTCATGAACTTTTTGATATTTTCATAACCATCTACAAAAATACACAGGAAAAAAAATTCTTACATAAATAACGAACAAAAAAGAAAATAAATCAACAAATTAAAAGAAAAACACACATATAATTATAACAAAACCTCCATCTATTTACATTCACTACTTAAATAATACATTTCTCTTCAACTTATTTCTAATTATTCTTATGATTTATTGTTCAATGTTCATTTTCATTTTCTCATTTTTTTTCTTTTATTAGTATAGTTTTTTCCTCTTTTTAAGTTTTTTTTTTTTCATCTTTTTAGAAAATTATGTACTTAATAATGTACCATATGGTATTCATTTTGATAAAGACCATGATATATTCTTCAAGATTAATCATATTGATGTTCATATTAATTTGGTATAAGTTCATCAAAATGAGAAGGAAATTTAATTATCTTGAAGGATTTCATCAAGAGATATTAGCACAAATTTTTGAATGATTTCCAAATATTTTGAAGATTTATTTGATTTCATCTAATATTATTCTATTTGTTTATATATTATTTTGATTATATATAAATAATTTCATGTTATTCAACAAAAATCAAGTTATGAAACTCTACTGATCATCATATTAGAAATCTCAATTAGCAATTTTTACTCATTTTACTTTGCTCTTCTTATTATTATCATGTGAATGAACAAAGATAAAAGGTTATACAATTTTATTTTTATGTATAGATGTTTATCGAGTTCTAGTTAATAGTTCAATTTCTGTGATAATTTGAAGATATAACATTACACATGAATCATGATACATTTCTCATTACTATTGCAAATTGGTAATTGCTGCCCCTTCAAATATATGCTATGGTTTGTCATAAAAACAATCATAAAATGAATTAACAAATAAATAAAAAACAATCTTTTTAGTATTTTTAAAATTTTTTAATAAAAAAAAGGGGAAAATGCACAAGTACCTTCTCAACCTATGACCGAAATCCCAGAGACACACTTATACTATACTAAGGTCCTATTACCCTCCTGAACTTATTTTATAAGTAATTTTCTACCCCTTTTTAGCCTACGTGGCACTAGTTTGAAAAAATTAAGTCAGCTATCCTTGGGCCCACAAGATACTGCCACGTAAGTGTGTCTCTGAGATTTCGGGCATTGGTTGAGAGGGTACTTGGACATTATCCCTAAAAAAAAGTTATTTATTGAAAAGAATGAAGAAAGAATTTCCCCTTACACATTAACTATATTAAAAATAAAATATATCATTTCTTTAAGTTCTCTTAATTATTGAGAAACATAAAAAAAGTATGTGACATTTATCTTTTTTTTTTAAAACCTCTTCTCTTATTTAAAAATTGTTTTCTTGTAAAAGTATTTTACTTGATTAAATACAAACAATTAATTATTAATGGAAGAATTATTAATGGAAGAACATTTACAACAAAAACTCTTCACATAACTCACACATTTTTAGTTTTCACTCTTATTAAAATAATTTTCATTTTATTTTCTTTTTTTAACCTTCTTCTAATTATAAATTTTAAAATAACAATTTAAAAAAAAGATATTTTAAGTTATTTTTTCTTTATTATTTAATTTCGACCAATATATCTATCTAGGTATAAAGTTAAAATATTAGATATGAAATAAGAAGATGTAGTATCTTTCTATATTCATTTTTCTCCTAAACTTTTAGCATTTTCTCTATTTTTTTCTTCACCACTGTAATATTTTAAAAAATGATTCCAAAATCTCCTCTTAAAATTTACTCTCCATCATTCACATTTTTTTATCTGTGTAACTTCTATTTTAAATTGATAATTAAAATATTCATGACTTCAAAATCTTTCTCATGTGAACAACACCTAAATTAATTAATGTGCAAGTTATGTATTTATCTTATCTTACTTAGTTGCTACAAGTAACGATTTTAAACTCAAGAGATTTTTAATAGAGTTTTGCATTTTATTACCATTATTATTTTTATATATTCTATATTCTTAGTATACTAATAATTTGGAATATTGTCATCGCTGTTGTTTTTCCCGTTCTATAATAATTATTATTATGTCGCCATCTTTTTATCTTGAGTGTTTGATTTTCATATTAGATTCACCCTAGTTGAATAATGCAAATATAATTGGTATAGGTATGATATCTCAATATACTGAAGATGATTTTCACGAAATAAAAGACTACATTTTGTCATTGTACAAGCAACAAATTTTAAAAGATGTAATTTTTTTAGATATATATTACGATATACAAGGCCCTACCCCCCTTAACCCCAAGGCCCTACCCAACCCCCCCCTCCTAGCCCCCGGCCTCGAGGAACCCAGCCCCTAAACCCAACCCTACCCTACCCCCCGGCCTCGAGGCTCCCAGCCCCGAGGCCGTATCCCCCCCCCCCTCCCCCGCCTACTATCCTAACCCCTACTACCCTACCCCCTACCCCCTTTCCCCCCTACCCCTACCCTCCCTTCCCCTCCCCCCAAATCCTCTACCCCCAACCCTACCCCCTACCCCTTACTACCCTACCCCCCTGCCCCCCCTCTACCCCCCTACCCCCTACCCCCTACCCCCCCCCCCCCCAAGAAAGATATTAGAAGTTTACCTCAACATGCCAGTCAAATCATATAGCGCGCATGCCCGATGGATGGAATATGTGGAAAGCCTTTCCTTTTTCCTTGCCTAGTACGATGATCAAAGATAACATTATGACATGGTTGGTGACAAAATGTTAGCAAGAAATTATGAAACAAACAATCTTTTAAGGAGACAAAAAAACAGAAATTGGTCCACTAATCCACATTAATGATCTAGAATGCCACTGGTAAATTGACAACCAAGAAGGACTTTCTACATATTGACAGACAAGGACTTCCTAAATATGAGGAATTGAAATACTCGAAATCAGAAATACAACCTAATTAAGCATTCACACTGATTTAGAAATTTCTAAACACAAACTATTGGTAAAATGATTGCGACTCCTGTAGAAGTATTTCAAATTGCATCAAGGCACAAACATGGCAGCATTGGAACATGTATATCATTAACCAACCCTATTTCTAAACAGGCTTGCCAGATGCTAGACGAAATGGGAAAGATTTACAGTATATCATTTATTTCAGAATTCATATAATGAGAGGGGAAACCAACACACAAACTCATTTGACAGTATCTAAGAGAAGGAAGAAATAAACACAAACATGATCAATATATATTTAAAAGAAGAAAAAGAAATATGTATTCATGCTCTCAGAAAAGAGCCAACTATTAACTGCAGAAAAATCATTTAATGAGTACACTTTGAAAACACTGATTGTAGACAGACTTTCAGGACAACTTATTATCAAGACAAGGACAAACAAACTTATAGTTACACAGATAAAGTTGATCAATTTTATATCAAAATATAAGAACAGGAAATTCAATGACAGTTAGGCTAAACAAAAATTTACATCGACATGAATTAGATAAAAAGCTTAAGCACATAAGCAGCCGATATCCATAAATGGTTTCTCGATGCTCAAAATAGACGATGTGGCAGATCAAAGAATCAAAGCAAAGCTAAAACTCGCTGTTAGCTAATTATTTTTTAGAGTAAATTAAACCCCAAGGAACGAGATACAAATGTAAGCTTAAATGATCCCAAAACATGAAAATTAAGCACTATGTGCATATGTAAAGCAGAATTGTTTCAACAGCCTATTAACACTGGAAATTTCTTCAAATGTTCATAAAGCAAAGTGGACAGATAAACAAAGGAAACAAAAAAGCTGCCCTTTAGTCGCTAGCTCATTTCTCTACCAAATCGTAGGAAGATGCCTCACGATTCGCTATTGTATGTACTACTTATCTTTTAAGACCATTTTCTCCAAACATAGTAGAAATTGCTCGATATGATGTCCATTGTAAGAACTAAGAAGTCATTATGAGCTGCCAAGTAGGTAACTGATTCACTCTCATTGCCAAATTTCAAGGAGTTCTTTTGTTTAATATAAGGTTATCCCAACTGGAGCTTTGTTATGATGCAGAATCAACGACAAGATGAGATGGTGCATCAAAAATGTGATATCTACAATTCAAGATATGGATAAATCTTATTTCTCTACCTTTTTCTCCTTAAGATGTCACAACACACCATACAAAAGGGTACATCTATCCCTATTTTCATTTCTATGTCATCAGACAGAATAATGTGATGTCCTAAAAACAAGTTGTAAAAAGGATAATCAGCCTGCATTGTTAATTGTAAATATTGTTTCTTCCAATAATCAGCACAACCAGGTAAATGTACATATGCTCAAGGAGAAGACAAGAAATCAGAAACTCTCACCTCATACTTTTGAACCAAAAAAGCCCAGAGAGTTTTACACTACTGTCCAGGACTTCGATCGACTCCAATAGAAAGTAAATTTGTAGATATCTCTTTCCATAGCGCCAATCGTCCACGAACAACCTGGAACTTGCTGTGGAGTTCCCCGTGCAACGTAATCAGTTTCCTAATCACATCTGTTTCTCTTTAAAGGCTTGGAAGATATCATCATAGATTGTGGAAAGCCAGAATCACTTTGAATGCTCTCTTTTCTGGATGATTATGATTCCTCCTGTGTTGAAGTTTGCACGTAAATGTTTAAATTTTCCATTCATCCAAAATACTTCTTAACCATTAAAAGAAAACTTAACTCATACATAATTTTTGAAACAGTGAACTTGTTCATACAAAGGGAAGTCAATAATCAAAGAATTCAACTACCAAATATCACAATCTCGGCCAAAAAGAAAACCCCAAAAAAAGAAATCACAAAACCCACCCATATTTTCCTTCCGTACACAAATTGACGCAAGAAACCCCATAAAAGAAATTGAATGATCAAACCATTAATCAAAAACATAGACAAGACTCACGAGTTCGGAGGAATGAGAAATCGAGCAGTAACAGTTGTATGATTCGATTTTCCGATGAATTCGCTGCCATTGCTCGTCTCTTCGCCACTGATTATTCATCGCTCTGTTCTTCAAGAGAAGGAAGAAGAAACTTATTCTTCAAGAAAAAGAATGAAGAAGAAGAAGCTAATTTGAATTGATTTAGATATCCGTTAGGAGCGGACAACGGAAGGATCTCACATTTTGAATTCCCCTTTGCTTTTATATTTTATTTTTTGGTTAATCATATGGTAATTAACAGATTATTATATTAATTAATAGAAATATAATTTGTTAGAAGGAATGAAATATGTTAGTTTATACTACGTTTGGTACATCTTAATTGGATTTAAATTTAAAGTTATAAAAAAAAAATTATTAAAGTCACGAGTAAGCATTGAAATGATAACATATTCGTTAAAATCTCACGAGTCAGCTAGATTCCAAAGAAGATAGTCTGTTAGATTTTGTTTCAAAATTTTAAACGGTGAGACTACTCATAATGTTTCCCCAATTTATTACGGAAGTTCTCATACACTTTTTTTTCAGAAAAAAAAAATTCAAGAGGTGTTAGATACATGAGTTAATAATACACAAGAAATAAATAAAAATCATTGTAGTTCCTAAAATTTTGCTCGAAATGAGAAAATATGCGTGAGAAAAAAAAACAATCGAACTATACATATAGCTTCCCCAACTTGTTACGGGCGTGTTATGGTTCAAATCGACTGAATTAATTTTTCTTTTATTTGATTTCTTTTTTTTTTTTGGTCGGTTTAGGTTATTAATTCTAAAATTATGATTATTCTATTCAATTTTCGATTTTTAACTCGATTAAACCGAAAACCTGAAATTAAATTGCACTATACTTGCAATATACAATTTACACTACACATGGGCAGTTGAAAGGTTCAAACCCAATTGAAAATTATGTCCAACCCAATTTCCAAATGGTCCAATGATTAATCATAATTTAAGGAGTTTCTCAACTTGTGTGTGACTATTGTGTCCCAAATTTGAAAATTTAGTTATTTATTAAATTTGGTATAATCAAAACCGAGAAAATCAAATTTATTTCAATTTGGTTGGTTTAACATTTTTACCAAACCGAATCGAACAGACCGAACGCCCAACAGACCAATTACCAAATCCACCTATCATCGCCGGCATAACCATAAAAAAGATCGAGACCCCCGGTAATCTCTTGCAGGGCGCACAAGGCAAGGCCCTTAGTCTTACCTCATGCAGTTTCTTTCAGGATCAAATTTTTAACTTGACACAAGTCAAATATTATGTATTCCTAATAAATTGCACGAGTACAAGCTCTCCATAACTACCACATGATTAACAACAACTTCGCACGTTGAGATCGGGCTATGTGAATCATCAGTATTCACATAGTCCACTATACAAATAATAAGAAAAAGGTATATGATGTCTGTATCAAGACAGGTTATACTGCAGCATGCATTGACAGCATCAACATGAAACCATTGACGACGATATCCTTGCAAAGTTCAAGACAAAGACGACGATGTATTTGTTAATGGTTAAACAAGTTGAATAAGACCTGCACAAAGAAAATGTATACAAATGCTGAAATCAGACTATGGAACAGAGGATGACAGGTTCGAGTCCAAACACATTATCTAACAGATGTTCGTAAGGGAAGAGAAAGAATAGGAAACGTACTTGTATATCCGTGAAGTTAATATATCTGATCCGAGAACAGGAAGGTGAAAAGCAGTTCATTCCACATATCAGGCACACCAGGTAAGCAGTAATGGCTGCAATCAGGCACTAATGGATTATCACTCCAAGTACCAACATGTGCATCGCTCCGGTATGCCCCCATCGGAGTGACATGCAGCAATGTCACGGGGCTGGATACATTTCTCACAGTGTCAATAATTATGTCTGAAAACAGATCCTCATCCTTTCCGTTGGTTTCCGACCAAGGCAGTCGTGTCACATTGCATGTATCACGGGATTCGTCACTGATTCGAGCATAAGTAAAGACTCATCAAATTTAGAAAGATTTATATGTGGAGAAAATATAGCTTTTACCATGGAATAGATTTTGATATTAAGAACACAGCTCATGAGATCTTCATAGAACAAATATGCAAACTATATCCAAGTGTCTAATGAATCAATTGTTCAATCGAAAGCCCAGACATAAATTTTAAATTTTCAATGGAAGTCATAGCAAAATCAATGGAGACGAGCAGGTTATATCAGAAAATTAAGCACACCTCCAATGAGTAGCTTCGAAAGTCCGAAAGAATACACGTGTCCTATCAGTGTTGACCTTCTTTTCAACCCAAGATTTCCAAGTAGCTAAGGCATGCTTGAAGGCGCCATTTATCGTCATTCCGAGTTTCATCTTTCCATCAATCTGGAAGTACCACCCCCTGTCTGAAGAAGCATGTCAGAAGAGTTCTCTAGACAAATTGGTAAGTAACTTTGCCATAAAGCTTTTACCAGCATACAAAACATAAAAAGCTCAAACAATTTTACTGCAAAAGTAGTGATCTTAGGATATTAGATGAGTAAGAGGAAAAGTAGTTCAATTTCTTGCATATCACGATGTCCTACAGATGCTGGTATATCACACACACACGAGCAATCATGCACGAGCAGAGTATACCAGAACTGTGAAAATTTGAGAATTGTAAAGATATGACAACTAGGACTAACTCAACCTCAAAAGCTAGCCATGAGAGGAGGAATACCCAAGTCCATATAAGCAAACCACCAATCCATTTTCCAACCAAGGTGGGACTCTAACCCACTCTAATACCCCTTTCACGCCCAAGCACAACTGAAGCGTGGACCAGGAGTCCAAGAAGGGTAAAGATATGACGATATTGGCAGATCAAAGACTCAAAGGAAAGCTAGAACTCACTGTTAGCTAATTATTTTTTAGAGCAAATTAAATGGTTAGTACTTAGGACAGAAATTTAAACCCGAAGGCATGACATACAAATGTAAGCTTAAATAATCCCAAAACATGAAAATTAAGCTACTATGTGCAACTGAAGCATGGACCGGGAGTCCAAGAAGGGTAAAAATATGACACCCGTGCCTAACTCAACCCCTAAAGTTAGCTTATGAGGAGAGGATTAACCAAGTCCCATATAAACAAACCAATGCGGGGCTCTAACATAAAGTCTCTACTGTGATCTAAAACAAACAGATTCTCTAATTTTGTGAAGTAGATATTTTACATGGATAGGGGAAAATCGTATCTTATCATATAAAGACAGTGACTTGGGTGATGTAAGACTCTCTTGTCTCATATGATGAGGATTCAGTGAGGACAGTGCCAATCTTGCTAACTGTTTTTTTGCAGATCTCAGATTCTTAATAAGACAACTCTCAACATTTCATAGTGTCCATTTAAAGACTACAGAATCACAACTGCGACAAATCTACAAGTCTCCTAAACTTATAGCTTATATCAATTATAATGAAATAGATTCAGGGCTTGTGCTATAATTAATTGATGACCATCTACCTTTTCAAGAGCATTTTACAAAATCAGAAATATACAAATGGTAAGTTTCCAAGCTAAAGTTCTATCACAATAGAGTTGCAATATAGTGTACGAAGAAAACTACCATAGTAAGAAAGGGCATAACATCAAAAGCAAATAGTTTCAAACTAAATAATAATTGACATCTTCAAGAACAAGGAATTCATCATGAATCACTTACAGTTCAAAAAGCTTCGTGGGAGTCCACCAATGACCGGTATTAAAGATTAGTATATCAGATTGAATCCATTCTTTGCTTATATCATCCATCTTATCAAGCATTAGTGCTTTCTTGATCCTCTTTGGTGAACGTTTTGGTGGCGCACCAGGTTGTACAAGGAAAATTGACCTATAAAACTCAACTGTTAAATTAAACGAGCTAAATCGAACTTGTAAATGCCTAATCTGTCTAGTGATCTTTCTTCCTTTGACTTCATATACACTTTTTTTGTCCTCAACACCAGTCATCAATATGCATATCATAGACTCCCATTGAGTTCTACTTAATGAATCACCAACAAACACAACCCTTTCCCCCCTTAACTTTTCCAAGATTTCATGAACATCAAACCTTGGAATTTCACAATTCCTAGGTTTCCACCTCCACTTAAGATACTCTTTATCCTCCCTCCCATTAGCTAAACAACTAAAACCTTGTTCAGCAAAAGGACATTCTGATGCATTGTACAAAGGATAGCTTTCATCAGGCACCCAATTTCCAACAAAAAAATTACATTCACCACTAAAGTCACTTGTTCTATTCTCATTCTCATGAACAATTGGTTCTGGAAAAGAATATATATTGTATAAATAACCAGACCCTATTGCCACAAGAAACAACAACAATAAGGGTCCAATCACAAGAACCCCATTAAAAGAATGAAAAACCCAAGTGTGACAATGTTTCATCTTGCCAAAGTTCAAATCTTTAACCAAATCTGACCTCAAATGGCCACAAGAACTGAACTTTAACTTTTTCACCATCAGTATGAACACAAAGAACCCTATTAAAACACCCAAATACAGAAAAAGAAAGAAAAAAAACAATCTTTATCTCTAAATCAAGAAGTAAAATAAAGATTTTGAAGAAACCCCATGAAGCTAAACAGGTTATTATAGCTGGAAAATTAGTTAAACAAGAAGAATAAATGGATCTTGAAGATTTTCTTCAGTTGTAGCTGGCTGATTAGGACAAACAGAAGACAATATGGGCAAGAACAGGGGATATGATTGTCATTTCCCAACTCTCAAAGTCCGAATATGATATATGAACTAAAATTTGGTGGTAAGTAAATATAGCATAATACTAAACTATATCTTTATATGTTGGAAATCAGGTGCTGACTGAGACAAAATATACTGCTCGTACGGCTGCAACTCATTCCCTAACATATTTTAATGTACAAAATTTTTGGTTGTTTTTTACTGTTTTGTCTTTCCTTATTGTTTTAGTTTCGATTTGATATTAAAGCTCGATTAAATTTATGCTACACAATGCTGAATTCATTTTGAGATAACACTTTTACCAGAACCTTTTTTCATATTAAAATTCCAACTCAAAGTCTTTAATTATAGATGAAACAATAGCGGAAGTTTACTTTTGTGACATCTTATATCAATGTTAGTTGTTACAAATAGTTCCATTCCTTTTTAGAATTAGAGAACAAACATTATTAAGTGAAACAGTAGAATTACATAGAGTAAATACCTAAATAGATACTTTCCCCTTTTCAAAATAAGTGATATTTTAATTTTATTTGTTTTGTTTTAAAATAAGGATAATGCTAAATGATAGAAAATTTTGTAAAATTTGATCAGAAATTTAAAAAGTCTATAATATATATATTTTATTTAAAAATAAATGAATATTTTATCAGTCTGTTAATTAAAAGATATTAAAGTTAAAACCTTTTATATAAAAAAGGTGATATATGTTATTACTCTTGTTTACATAATCAAGAATTATTAATAGTAATTTTTCTTTGATTGAGGGGTAATTTAGTAAAAGGAAGCCTTTGTTTTTATAAGAATGAGCAATTTTTCAAAGGATATATCAAATTGAAAATGCTACTTATTTTAAAGTGGAAGAAGTATTATTATCATTTATCAGAACCTTTCAAATAAATTAGATAAACTTTTCCACGTTAAAGAAAAATGTAAATACATATTTACACATAATTTCAATTCTCATATACATTTTTTTACTTCACTTCAGTATTTATTTATTTTTGACTAAAGCTATTTAAATGCTTTAATTCTTCAAACTTGAATACAATTTTCAGATACAAAAGTTTAATTTTATTTTATCCACCTTAATTTTATAACCTCGAAAACCAAAAAGGACACGTGGCGTGCTCCCATGTCTCCGACAATTTTCACCAGTCTTAAAATCCAATTTGACTACTTCCACTTCAGAAGAGAAGATCAAGAATGAGTAAAAAATTGTTTGATAAGACAAACACTAAAAGTTCTCTATTCTTTATTTTTGTTTTCATTTTTATAATTTTATTTTTTTCAGACAATTTTTGTGTAAAATATAAAGTAGTTAAGAACTTCATTAAAGAATAGGATAAATAAAGAAAATTTAACAGTTATAACTTTTAATAGATTAGAGGAAGTATTCCTTCCGTCCACAATTAATTAACATGATTTTTTTTTTAGAGTTAATTTATAAAAATTTTGATCAACATTTTATGATGTATATTTTTATCATATTGATATACAAAAAATTGCAATTTATAATATTTTTCATATTGTTTTTAAATATATAAATTTTTGTAAAAGAAAATATCAAATTAACTTAAATTTTAAAAATTAAATAAATTAATTTTTGAAAAGCTTAACATAACAAATAAAATTGAACTTGATAGAGTATATTGAAAAATGTATTGTTAAAAGTGTAACAACCACACTTTCAATATAGTTATGAATCTCATAAAGAGTTTAATTTTTTCACTAGGGATAAATATTTGAAGTAGGACAAGTCATATAAAAAATGATAATTTTTGAAATATTTTCACTCAAGATAAATATTTGCAGTAGACTTAACATATACAATTCGTATAAAGATTGATATTTTTCCAATTTCAAAATAAGTAATGGCTTAAATTATTTTTAAATATTATTAAAAGTAAGATGAAAGTAAAAAAAAACTCTTCTTTTTTTTTCGTGTTTGGTAGAGAGGAATGATATAGATGTTTGTGAAAACAATTGAAGGAAAAAGAAGAAGAAAACGTTTTTTTTAGTTGAAAACATCAAACAAAGAAATTCTACAAAAGCATAAATGATATGAGTTTAGTATTCCTTAGTCGACTACTTTTTGTTATTTATGCTAAAAAAATTGAAAAGTGTTTTATTAAATTTATAAAAAGAATTAATAGAAACTTTTGTTATTAAGTGAAAATATTACTTTTCAACTAGTATTTGAATAGCTTGTTAAAAAATTAAATATTATCTGAAATGAATAGAAAAGTAATCACTTTTTAAAGCGAAAATAATATTTGGACAAGAAAAGAAAATATTAGGAGTTGCTCATGATTGTATACGAGGGGTAAAGATGGTAGAAAAATTGTGATAATGGGAGGTCATGTTCTACTAACTTCAATAATTATCATTGCACGTTTTAGACACTTCCAATATAGAATTAGTTTTAAAATCATTTAAGAAATACATCCATAATACTTCCTCCGTTTATTAAAGAATGACTTGATCTTATTTGACACAGAGTTTAAGAGTATAAAAAAAAATTTTTGAATCTTGTGGTTCTAAATTAAAATTTAATCAAATATACAAAGTTGTTTTTTAATTTTGTTGCCTTAATTAAACATGTCAGCTAAAAAGCTCAAATTAAAATGTTACAAAAAAAAATTATTCTTTTTAAACAGACTAAAAAAAGAAAGAACATTATTTTTTAAACTGAAAAAATATGAAATATCACGTTTAAATTTTTAATACCAAAAATTTATAAAATTAAAATTAAAGATAAAATTATATTTGATTGTATATATTTTTTGGGAAGAATATCTAAAATATATAGTCAAACATGTCTAAATCACTTATTCCTTTGACTTTACGCGGAGGATTTTAACGTGTCTTTGGTTTCTTCTTCTTCTCAGCTGACCTTTTTCCAATTTTATTTTATTTTTTTTAAAAAAAAATGTTAGTGTTTTTCTTCTTGGATATATTTGGTACCGACTAAAATTAATTTTCATGAAAAAATTATTTTTTTGCTGTTAAAAAATATTATCTCTTTTAAAAAGAGTGATCTTATTTGATTTGACATAAAATTATAAAAAAATATAAAAAGAAAATTAATTTTATGATTCTGAATTAAAGTTATGTTAAATGTACTAAATTATCTTTTAATCATGTGGCTCTAAACATGTCATGTGGCAAATTAAAATTAAGATATTACTAAAAGAAATTATTCTTTTTTAAACGAAAACAATATTATTTTAAAGGCTGCATAGACATAATATTACTTTGTATTGTTCAAACTTCATATTATTTTCTCTTGTTTTCTTCATCTATCTTTGGTTTCTTTCTCTTGTTTTCTTCTTCAATTTTCTTATTTGTGTTTGACGATCTCTACCATGTCCTTTTTACTTTGTTTGTTACAAATCATGAAAGATTTGACAAAATCAACCAAATGTCATTATAACGTGTGTATATATATATATATATGTTTTAAAATTTATAACTTGTTTTTAGGTAATTAGGGTTAAGTTTAATATTTCTTCCAATCCATTTTATTTGTCATGTTAAATATTTTAAAAGTCAATTTGAATAATTTTTAAAATATTACATTATTTTAATATTTTAAACAAAAAATTCAATATTTAAAAGCTATACAAAAAATACTACAAATTACAATCTTTTACATATTAGTATGATCAGTAAAATAATTAGTATGTCACAAAAGACATGAACTTATAATCATCTACTACTTTATCTAATTTGTGGGTCTCTTCATTGAACAAAACGTGTACGTAGTGTCTTTTCCTAAGAAACTTTTCTCTTCTCTTTGTAAGTATAAAACTACTTTTCTGCAAATTTTACCTATGTTACACGATAAATAATCTATTACTTGAAAATAATTTTAAAAGTATTATAAATTTATAATAATTCATAATTTAAAATAATTATTATAAAAATATATAGAATATTTGGTTGACTTTTAAATTTTCACATGTCTCACGTAAATTAAAACATAGAGAATAATATATTTTATTTGAAAATTATATTTAAAATATTATAAATTACAATAGTTAATAAATTAAAATATTTAAAAATTATACGGAAAATCAATTGATCTCCCTAATTTTATATATGCTACAGAATTTTTTTTAAAAAATGAAATACGAGATATTGCGCCCATGCTTGAATATTAGAAGAGAGAATGTTGAGGAGCTATGGGTTAGTCGATCAATTGATCGATTTGCCCTTCTTCAAAAAATTGATTAATTTTCGAAATTTTGTAATATCGATTTGCCCTTCTTCAAAAAATTGATTAATTATCAAAATTTCACATGTATTGCATATGTAAAATTGAGTAACATATATTATTTGAATTGCATAAATTGTACTAAAATATAGCAAAAATAGTACTAAATTTTTTTATCAACTCTCAATTTTTCATATGCACTGGACAATTGAGTGAGTAATATAGATTATTTGAAAATTACATTAAATTACGCTAGGTGTTCTATAAATCACAATAATTAATAATTTGAAATATTTAAAAAACATATTAAAATGTGATTTAACTTTCGAAATTTCATATGTCATGAATTTGGAAAAGAATACTAACATATACTATTTAAAGGCTACGTTAAAAATATTATGAATCATTTATATAAATTGAGACGAATAAAGAAATAAACATTAGGTCCGTATTTGCTAGTGTGTGTGTGTATATATATGTGTGTGTGTGTGTGTTCCTTTCTTCCCTTGCCTTTAAAATTATAATTTCATTTTGTAAGGATGATATTTATGCCTTTAAAATGGATTTTCCTATAACAATGTAACAAAATATTTTGGGTCAAAATCAAAAGAGAAAAAAGAATCTTTTGCTTTAATTCTTGGAAATGTAAGAAACAAGAAAACACCAACACATTTTAGCATTTAATTTTTAGGAAATAAAAGGATCATAATAAGAGCTTTATAAACTGGACATAATCTTACAACTTGATGTTTTATATTGATGCAAATTGGTAGCTTTATTTTGAAGTTAGATTTTAACTCTAGGACTTTTAAGATTGCTTCTAAATTTATCATACATATGTCATCCATCAACCAACAATTGCCACAAGTTTTGATTGATGGCTCTCAAATAAGTTGTGGCTTTAAAGAATCAATCAAACTAAGTTCTCATCACAAGGAATGTTCATTTGGTTTTTATTTTAACTTTTGACATTACAAGTAGGTAAGGGGCAGATTTCGATTTTACGATTTAATTTCATCAAATTTTAATTCAATTCTTCGGTTTAAGAAAAGTGTGCACTGTTTACCAAATCGAAAGACTATATTTATCTTTGTTAAAATATTATGCCTCCAAATACTTTTTGAGAAAAACAAGGACAAAGACGAGTTCCTTTACATGACATACATTGATAAAAATAGGTTTGGATTCCTACTAAAAATTAATATTTGAAGTTAACTATTGAATTATAAATTTGTTGCTACTTTGATTTGTCATGAATAATTTAATTATTAGTTGACTTTTTAATTTTAGTTAAGGAAATGCCCATAAATAAATAGATACATATATATTTATTTTTTAATTTAATAAAAGTTCTATTCTTTTGTGTATCAAAGTACTGAGACCCTTACACCAAAAAACCATATTTATTCGGTTCGACTTTTCATATTCTATATCCACCCTTACATGTAGTAACTTATAGCATAATGAAATATTGTAATGGGTGCAGTTACTTTTTGAGAAAAAAAGTCGTTAAAATATCTAAAATAAGTAAATTCAAGCACGAACTTAAGAAGAGTACACTACTCTAATCCAAAACAAAAGGTAAATAGGATTGAGTGTTGTTGTAGTGTCTTCTTAACATTCTTTTCTCTTTGAGAGATTATTCTTCTCCGTGGAGTAAACTTTTTGTAGGGAGTTTTCGCATGAAACTATATTTTGAGATCATATACATATATCGCGATTCGCGAGTCTCCCAGAAAAATTTAACACTTGTACTTAATCTTACGTTCCTGCTTAAACTCGTGGTTTTAACCATACCAACAAATTCAAGTTTGATTTCCTGGATATCATAACAATGAGCAAGATCATAATAATATATTACTAAAACCAATCCCTATGGATCAAGATGGTCTTAAACTATACTATCTTTGACTATCGAATCATATAATTTATAGTGTGCTTTGTGCTCACTAATCCTGCAAACGGATAGCCCCGGTACCATGGCATCTACCTACACCATGAGTGGCATCCTTTAAGGTCTCAAAAGGCAATAATAGTTGCTACATCTGACCACTCAAAAATACCCTTTTTGAGTAGGGAAGTGAGAGGCTTAATGATCATTCCATCGCCAAGCCTTAACACTGGTTGGCTTGATCCAATCAATCATTTGTCCAGCATAACCAACCCTTTGACATCTGAAAATACACAATTTTTTGTTACGACCTTGAAGTACGACAGTAAATTTTTACTTCTGAAACTAGTTAAAGCTCTGCTAAAATGATGGTTTATCCTCCCATTTCCATTTTTCAAAACTTTCTTCTGGCTCTTCCCGGCCATATGGAACACACAAAGATGGAAGCGTGAGTGACGATAACTTCATTTCTTATGTTTCTTTTAGAATTTACACACTGCCAGGTGTTATTCATATTTTTAGGTGAGGATGATTATTTTGGCATGTTTCTGCAAGGGGGAAAGGGCTAAGAGTTAATGCCAGTTTATTGTCCACCTATTGTTACTTTGGAAGAAATTTCTCAAATTGCTGAGGGTAAGGTCTGTGTACATGACTACATTCTACCCTCCCCAAACTTAACTTGTGGGATTTCACTGGGCATGTTGTTATCGTTGCTGCTGAGAAGGTTATGTGTGTACTTTCGAAGGATAACGAATCACAAAGCCAAAAATTAGAGGGAAATCCAAACCTAACTTGTGGGATTTTACTGGGCATGTTATTGTTGCTGCTGAGAAGGTTATGTGTGTACTTTCGAAGGATAATGAATCACAAAGCCAAAAATTAGAGGGAAATTTAACCTAGGAAGACGGTCAAATGGCAGAACTTAATATAACCATGAAAACAACCATCTATACAAGATGAGATAAATTACAAGGACTTAAAACAGGAAAACGGAAACACCAAACAAGTTACTTATAAACATTGCATATAATGTAAGAGAGAGTCATTAGCAGTTCCATGCCATATTTGATGGGGAAATACTCAGTTTAGTGATCCGTGTGGATGATGCAACAAAGGCCTTCTATCAAAAGCCTTGTTCATATCAGAAAATGGGAGTTGATGAGTTTATGAACTTCTCCAATTCACAAGGTGGAAGACCCAATATCTATCACTAGAAACAGAGACTCACCCTCATCAATTCAGTTTTAGATTCTCTTCCCACTTATGTAGTGTCTCTTTTTCCTATACCTCGGAGTGTTGTGAAGAAACTGGACAAAATCAGAAGGAATTTTCTTTGGCATGGTTGCAAGGAGAATAAAGGATAAAATCTGATTAAATGGGAAGTAGCAATGAAAAATAGGCACTTGGGAGGCTTGGGCATCAAAAAGGAGACAGAATAATAGTCACTTGATGAAATGGTTGTGGACATACTGTGAAGAAGATCACACTTTATGGAAGGAGATCATCACGAGTAAATATGGTGAGAGCAACCAATAGTGCAGCAACAATAGCTCTATGCCCAATGAGTGTGGGGCATGGAGAACAATCAGGGATCTTTGGCCAAAGCTAGAAGAAAACATGATCGTAATAAGTGGGAGATAGAAAAAAAAGTTCTGGGGAGATGCTTGGAACAACCAGACACCTCTTAAGAACACTTTTCCTGGCCTGTTTAGCACGTGCAACAACACTGAGGCAACTGTCAAAGAATGTTGGACTGATCAAGGATGGGATCTATCTTTTAGAAGACTGGCGGCCAGTTTGCTTCTTAGACTCGAGGATTTCACAGGCACTACCCCAAATCCAGATTCTATGAAATGGGAACACAATAAAGACGGGATTTTCTCTGTTAAGAGGGCCTACGAAACAGGTAATACACAGCTAAACGAAGACAACAATTTTTGTGGAACAATGTTTGGAAAAACATAGCACCAACTATATTTACATGTTTTACTTGGTTGATAGCAAGAAAGGTATGTCTGACACATTGGGTTTTGAGGAAAAAGGGGAAGATTATAGATTCCAGATGTTAACTCTGTGGTGAAACAAATGAAACAAACAGTCACCTTTTTTTACATAGCAAATCCACTACACTATTATGGGCTCTTTTCTTACACTCACGGAAACGAAATGGACCATACCTGAGTACACTGCAGACCTACTAAGCTGTTGGATCAGAAGAGGAGGAAGCAAGAGCCAGAAGAGATGGTGGAAAATCATCCCACATTGCATTTGGTGGTCTGTATGGAATGAGAGAAATAGTAGAAGCTTTGAAGATAGGTCCAATTTCATTTACACAGTTAAATGGAATTGTATTATATCTTACTATTTTTGTTGTAAAAAGATGGACATAGATGAATTAGAAATAGTAGATCTGTTAGGGTCATTGTATGTAGTTTCCCTCCTCTTTCTCCCTATTTCTCTCTTGAAGGTTGCCAGCATATCCTTGATGCTGAAGAATACAGGAGAAATGTGACAAACTTGCAAATCATTTACCATATTTAACAAATACCAAATAAGAATCTATTTTTCCAAAGTCAAGCCAATACATTTACCACATGCCTATAAGAATCTATTTTCCAAGCTGTTTTCCACTCAAGAAACAAGAGAAATGTGACAAACTTGCAAATCATTAGGATACCATCATTGTCTAATCTCATACAAATAAGCACATGACTGTTGTAGCCTCAACCCTTAACAAACTTCATCTGTTAAGAGTCCCACATCTCTGTGGATGGGATTATTCCATTCTATGTGGTCTTGGAGAACCCTCACCTCACCATTAATTTTTGAGGTTGAATTAGGCCTAAGGTCCATTTCCTCACATGATATCCAAGCCAAACTCATTCAACTCTTGGTTTATCAATTCATGTTAGGCTTCCTAGTTGTATTGTCCATGCTCCAATATTCCAATTTGGTGTGGGATGTTAGAGCCCCACATCAGTGTGAGACGAAATTACAGGGAATATTTGTCTCCTAATATATGATTTCAGGGAAATCCTCACTTCATTAGCTAATTATTGGGATTTAGTTACGGTCGAGGTCCATTTCTTCACATTATCGGAGTGTGGTATTGGCTCTGGCAGATCTGAGGTTTGCTCTGCTCATGCTACCATCCGTTACACGGTCCTAGGACTAAATCTGTTGTTAAAGCATTTTCTTGAATTGTTTTGAACATTCTCATAACAGAACTGCACAGCTTAAAAATCTCTGACCTGCATAACTCTCTCCTGTGTGATATAGTTACCCTTGATTTGAATGCTGGGAATTTCTTCACCCATTCCATCATGAATATATGCATATCCATTGCTGCCAGAGAAAACAAAAAAGGAAAAACATCAGCTTTTAGGTAGGACAATTCTTAAATCTGATATTCAAATACAGTTAATGCTTGATCACAGCATCTAAGTTTCCTTGTTTTACCAGTTTTTGCATCGCCAGTGGTGTAGTCTGAACTTGTATCAGAGTATGACAAGCCTACTCCAGCAGGAGATTCAACAAAGAGGAGATTTCATGTTACAGTAGACAAAAGACATGGAGTGGTAAGTTCATTCTCTTTACTCATATTGTTCTAAACATGTTACAATCAGCTCTTCCCTACCCTAATTGCATGCCTTTATTCCATGATTTTGTGTTTCTTCGAAGACCTCGACCGTTACCTGTGGGAAAGAATGGTCCCAACTATGTAAAATCACCTCCACCAATTGATGAGCAACCTGGTCCTGAAACACAAACATGTTACATTTTAGTGTTCTTGATTCCGCTTTGCCAGTATTCACCAAATTCATCACATTCTAATTTAAGAAATCTTATCCAGGGAAAAATGCAATTCTGCAACTTATTTATAACTAGTTTAATTAGGTTTACTGTTCTTGACATTTTAGTGTTCTTGACTCTGCTAATATTCTTTTCTCCATTATTTTCTATATGCTTCACAATAGCCGAGGGTATATCGTAAACAATCTCTCCACCTTCACAAGGGGTAGGGGTAAGGTTGTGTACACATCACCCTACCCAGATCCCATTTGTGTAGGATTACATTGGTATGGTATTGTTTAGTTGTATCAGGCTTACTCATTAAAGATGTAAGCTTTTACTCTTATTTTTGAAGTTCTAGGTTGGTTCTATTCAACTACTGTCTTAAGCTCCATCTCACTATTAAATTTGATCGCTTATAAGCATGTGACACTTGGTGCAACCAAGCTGTTTCCTTTTCTCCAAACATCAAAAGAATACTATAAGCCTAAAAAAAACATGACACACAACAAACAAAAAACAGAAGTTTGAACCCCAAGCAAATAGTGCTAACAAAAATGTACATGGAAGTACAGATAAATTCCTAGTCACATTTGTTTAAAAAGGATCAAGTAGAGTTTTAAAAAAAGGAAAAATTGCACCTCCATTGAGCCAAAGAGTTAGAGTTTTATCATCAGGTTTCACCTTAGCTTCAACAAAGTGGTAAAACAAACTCTTCCCAGCTTTCACATTTACATCCATATACCCTGCATATTGCCTAAAACCAACCTTAGGTTGTCCAGACAATGCCTTCACTAAATCCTCCTCTGTATAGCCTTTCCTCCAACTACCAAACCCAAAATGACCAATCCACAAAACCACCACATGCCCATCTCACTAAACTTCAAAAAGATTCAAACTAGCCTCTTTTTCTCTAAAACACTTCAAATTAGGTTCATTCACATGCTCTCCTATTAAAAAAACAAATCTTTATAACAGAAATTCTGTCACACCAATTTCTTATTTTAAGAAAGCAGCAGATATTACATATGCCAGTTCACAACAAAACATAAAGCAAAGGACTGAGTTGATCCAATAAATTAACCAAACGCCAATAAAAATCTATTTTTCCAAGCAGTTCTCCACACAAGAAATGTGACAAACTTGCAAGTCATTAAGGACATGATCATTGCCTAATCTCATACAAACAAGCACATGACTACTGTGGCCTCAACTCTTAACAAACTTCATCAATTAAGAGTCCCACATCTCTGAGATTGGAAGATTTCCTTTCTATGCAGTCCTGGAAAATACTCACCTTACCATAATATTTGAAGTCAAATTAGGCCTAAGGTCCATTTCTTCACATGATATGCCAAACCCATTCATCTCTTGGTTTATCGATCAATGTTAGGGTTCCATGTTATATAGTCCATGCTCCAAATATTCCGTCTTGGGCGTGGGATGTTAAGAGTCCCATATCAGTGAGGGACGGGATTATTTATCTCCGTGTATGATTTTAGGCAAGCCTCACTTTATAAGTTAGTTGTTGGGGTTGAGTTAGGGTTGAGGTTCATTTCTTCACATTATCGGACTGATGTATTGTCCCAGGCAGGTCTGGGGTTTGCTTAGTTCACGCTACCATCCATTAAAGATCTATATCAGCAAAATAGCCTTCATCTTTCATTAATGCAGTCAAATCTTTCAAAAGTGCATGAATATCACCCGCACAAGGATGAAATTTATCCCCTGCGACAAACATATTTGTTTTCTGCCCGACTATAATCCAACTGCAGCCAGGAGGCTTCCTCACTCCTCTCTCTTTCATTTCTTTCCTTAAGAAGTTAACTCCACCCCAATTGCCTGATGCAGCATATATATTAGATAGCAGTATGTATGAAGAAGAATTTTGGGGTTCCAACTCAATAAGCTTTTCAGCAGCCTTCTGTCCCCTTGTATCATCCCCGTGTAATTTGCAAGCACCAAGGTAAGCAGACCATATCATAGCATCTAGTTCAAAATCAAATCTTTCAATAAATTCCTCTGCCTCTTTGAGATTTCCCCAACGACCAAGCAGATCAACCATACAGGCACAGTGATCGGCACGTGGCCGAACATCATAGAGGCTAGTCATATCCTTGAAGATTTGACGACCTTCAGATACCATTCCTGCATGGCTACAAGCAGTCAGAACCCCAAGGAATGTGATATCATCAGGCTTCACAGATGCCCTCTTCATTTCTTCAAAGACTTCCAGTGCATCTTCCGCAAAACCATTCTTTGCAAAGCCAACTATCATAGAGTTCCATGAGATAATGTCTTTCTTGCTGACCATTTCACTAAACACTTGCACTGAACATTTAACATCCCCGCATTTAGCATACATATCTATTAGAGAGCTACTGGTCAGTTCATCCATGTCAAAACCAGTATGGAAAATGAGACAGTGAATTTTCCTGCCATCCTGCATAAAAGCCAAGGTCGAACACGCTTTTAGGGCACTAGCAAAAGTTGCTTGATCTGGCATTACATTAAACTTGCGCATTTCCTGATAACCTATCAAAGCTTCCTCACAGCAGTCATTTTGAATATTGCCGGATATCATAGCAGTCCACAGAACTGGGCTATTTAGCTTGGTAAACTCTGAGAAGAGAAAGCTTGCGTCTTCTAATTTTCCAGAGTCATAATACATGCCTATCAAAGAGATTGCCAAGAATTCATCATTGTATGAAAATCCAAGCTTTAAAATGAAAGAGTGCAATTGCCTACCAAGCATGTAAGCATGGTCACTACATGCATCTAGAATGCTAGCAAATGTCACCTCCGAAGGCCTAAGTCCTTCAACAAGCATATTATGGAATAAATGCACCGCATAATTAATGTTTTTCTGAGCATAGCCAGAAATTAAAGCATTAGTAGACACCACACTTCGATCAGGAAGGCAAAAGAAAACCTCACTGGCAGAAGTAATGTCACCACACTTGCAATACATGTCAACAAGGGAGCTTCCAGCAAAAAGGCCACTTTCTAGACCATATTTGACCAGCAAGGAATGAACTTGTTTCCCTTTATTAAGATCGTGTATATTGGCACAGGCACTGAGTACACTAGCCAAACATGCCTCATCAGGAATAATCCTTTCCAATGTCATTTTGTGGAACATGTTAAAAGCTTCTTCTTCTTCTTCGTCCTGTACATAGCCAACTATTATTGCATTCCATGAAATATGGTCTCTCGTTAGCATTTTGTCAAACTGCTGCCTGGCATCACCTAGAGCCCCACATTTGGCATACATGTCTATTAATGCATTTCCAACAAATAAATTAGATGCAAATTTATTCTTAATGATAATTGAGTGCAGTTGCCGCCCCATTTCCACATCTTCCAAACAAGCACATGCACTCAGTATGCTAGTGTAAGTATACTCATCGGTTTCAAAAGTAGAAAGTCTCATACTCCTGAACAACTCCACAACTTTACAAGCACTGCCATTCTGTGCATAACCTGCAAGCAATGCATTCCACAACACCTCATTTTTCTCTCCCAAGCTATTAAATATTTCGCTAGCAGCTTCCATCTTTTGACATTTGGCATACATATTAATCAAAGAACTCCCAACGTAGACGTTGGATTCTAATCCCTGTTTAACTGCCACAGCATGGACCTGCAAGCCAAAGGATAAATTTGCAACGCTTGCAGTTGCACTCAAAACACTTCCCAAGGTAGAACGAGTGGGTCGAATGCTAGCTTTGATCATGTCTTGAAAAAACTGTATAGCTTCCACCTCTTTCCCTCCCTTGGCATGACCAGAAATCATCACATTCCACGCCACAACATTTGGACAGGTCATCTGAGTAAACAATTGACGAGCAGCATCAAGCCTACCTAGTCCCACACATGCATTTATGATGGTCACGGATGCCACTTGATCCGGCACACACCCTCGTTCCTGCATCTCCTCAAAAACCTCCATTGCCTTTTGAGGTAGACCTACTTGAATATAAGCAGAAATCATTGCTGTCCAAGAAACATTGTCCGGCTCCACCGCCCCATCAAAGATTCTCCGAGCATCAATCAAATAACCACATTTTGCATACATATCAATAAGAGAACCCTCAGTGAAAGAATCAAATTCAAATCCTGTTTTCACCACACTACAATGCACTTGTTTTCCAATCTCAACCTCCACTAGCCTAGCACAAGCAGACAAAACAATAGCATAACTAAACTGATTCGGCCACACTCCAGAATTCCACATCGACCCAAAAGCTTCTACAACATTCTCCAACAACCCATTTCGCGAATACATCAATATAATCGAATTCCAAGCCATACCATCCTTGTTCTCAAGCCAGAAAAATGCTTTCTCAGCCGAAACCATGTCCCCGCATTTGGCGTATAAATCCACAATGGAATTCCCCAAATGTCCTTGTGAAGCAAACCCAAGCTTCAGGCTCTGCAAATGGATGGTTTTGCAAGCTTTCACAGCACGTGCAACTCTCTGGGGCATTTCGTCGAACACCCGGCGGGACTGAAGGTTCTTGCATTCCTGTAGACATATTTTCAGGAGATTGTCGTATAGGAGAGTAACTGGAGCTGATTGAGGTTCTGGGTCTTCGTTTCTGGACTGTTTCGCCTGCGTCGTTGCCGAGAATTTGCGACGGCGATGGAGCAGTAGAGAATATTGTCTGAGAGAGGAAACTATGTGACGCATCGACAAAAATTCGATTGGGTCGTTTTGGCGGTTAAATTAATAGCCGTATAAATAAATTTTTATTGCACACAATTTGTTAATTTAATAAAATTTGATGTAAATACAAAGTATATAGAAATTAATCATAAGATTACATAAAAACTTATACGCGTTTGCCTTTTATAATTTAATACGTAATGCATAAATAAAACTTGTTTATGCAAATATAATATAATATTTATATTCAGAGCAAGAAATATATATAAAAAATGAATAGTTTTATTTTAGAGAAGGGATTTAAAAAAAGTAGAAGTAGATGAAATTTCTTGAGGGGAAGAAGAGGATTTGATTAAGTATTAACTAGTCAAAAAACCTTATATTAAATATCAAATATAAGTATATCAATGAAATTTATAATAAATATGAAATTGAAGTTTTCTTATGAGTCTCGAAATTTTTTATCACAGTAACTCAATATATATAGTCTATCAATAAAATATCAACAAAGAAATAAAAACTAAGCAAATGTTTTAATGAAATGAGAAATGAAAACAATTGTTCATATGAAGTTTGTAAATTGTAACATAAGTGATTATTTAATAATGAAGTAAGAATTGTTCATTTTTTTTCTTGCTAAACATATATGGTTTCAACCCATGTATAAATGCTATTGTAAATTGAATTACTTGTGGAATAAAGTGAAGTCCATTTATTTGACACACCAAAATATGTTACTCCCAAATAATTAAGTTGTCTAATTTATTTCTATCAAAAAGTTAAATAGAATAACGCAAAAGGATGAATTACTGTATTATTATTATTTGAAGAAATGGCATAAGTTTTCGGCATGTTTGATTTATAGAGAGAGATGAAAGAATAGTAATGCTTTATAGATAAATTTATCAAGTTTAGTGATGTTTGGAGAATGAACTTGCTTTCTTTATTTCATTCAAAGAAATTTAATTTAAGATAAAGATATGTTCCCCTATCTCTATCACACTGTCAATCTAGGAAATCTTCTTCAGCTACTTCAAAGCCAATTATCAATGCAATGGTTTTGTTTCTTCCTGTTTATATAGGAAGTCCCTAATATTCATCCTCACTCAAGTAACTATACCTATAACCAACTTTAAAGTGCTCATTGGAGAGGCTTTTTCCTAGTCGTCGATGGAGGGACGTGTGTTGTTTGGGAGCCTCCGGCCACGTATAAATGAACTAAACAGATGCAAAGCTCTTGCGGGTTGTGCATATGGTACCATATGTGCAGCACCTCTAACAGTGGCAAAGGTCAACAGATTGCCATACTCCGTTTGCCATCCTCCTACCTGTTTAAAAGACAAACAAATGGTTATACTTACAGCTTCTCATCAACCGTTGGTGGAACTTGGAAGGAAATGTTTGATATCAGAGGAGAGTGTGTTACCTGTCCTTTGTGAAACCAAGCTCCATAAGGGACTGTAATCTTGAACCCCATGTCATGAGCTAGCTCGCGTACAAGGGTCCTGGATCCAAGCAATGGCACAACAGAATCTTGGTCTCCGCTGCAAGCGAGTATAATTCAGAATCAAGCACCGTTGACTTTGGTACTAGGAAAAACGGAGCAAGATTGTGGATTTTTG